AGAACGTTTTTCACATCAATTTTAGGGTTGGAAATATCTGTTTCTTGTAATTTGGCCTGAAATGTATTTGCAATTTTATTACAAAATGTCCCTGTTGAGTCAGTGTCCTCATGCCAGGCCATAATTATTCATTTTTTCTGGGAAAATAATTGTCCCTATGTTGAATTGCCCACAGGTCAAAGCGTCCGCATGTGGGGGTCTCACTATGTAATCCAGAACAAGTATTGTTTGTTGATGAGAAAAGAAATCTGATTCATGCGTATGAAATTTTCAGTTTCAGAATTCAGACGTTTGTTGATGAGAAAATAAATCCGATTCATGCGTCTGAAATTTTCAGTTTCAGAATTCAGACGATTCCAGACACGTGGTGAAGCTGTCAGTTGGCATCCTGGTGCCATCGGAAGTCCAAACGTACCACCCTCATTTTCCACCACACGGTGGTGACGATTTGCAACCACAAATTGCACCAATAGTCCTCAATAATAAGAACCACGCTCATCCTCAGCAAATGTCTGAGGTCCACTACATCCCTGAATACGAGAACAATCTCATCAGTCCCGAAGAGATCGTCGGTCACACGAACGTGGATATTCCTGTGGTACAAGAAGAACAACAAAGGCCTCCGGATTACGCCTTTCCTCATCCTCATCAGGACACAAATAATGACTACGTAGAGCAAGAAGAGGAGATTCCATTCAACAACAATGAAGACCCTTGGGATGGATATCTTATTGATGAGAATAATGGGGAACTCGTTGTTGAACCCGAACAAGGCTGGCCGTCGCAGAATTGTGAGTCGATCTTCATTCTATTTTTTTTACATCCGTTTCTGATTCTAATCAAAACACATTTTCATAAAAGATGTGTTCGTCGTATTTTTGAAGTAGGCCATCCAATGTGTGGCAAAATACTTGTTGAATTATTGCTACAGTATATCCACATATGGGAAGTGAACTTCCTTCATTCGGGAATTGGTCCGTGAAGTGAAGGAGGCTATAGCGACATCTACAATACAAAATAAAAAGTGCTGTGCGTCCTTACGCAATATCAGTGTAGGTTAGGCCCCAGCTTATGTCAGTTGTAGAAGTGCAAGAACAGACAAGACAGATGACAAAAAAGAATTAATTTTCTGTAATTTTTGCCGCTGTAATTTTCTTCCTGTACGATCAAGTGTGTTAGTTCCCAAAATGAGAGAAACTATATAGAATCGATCGCTGATTTCTTCGGATGTTTTTTCTCTTCCAGAGCCCTAATTTATCCGTGTGCCCGTGAACTTTCAAAAATTCAAGAAATCCTCGGAAAATTTCTGGAAGTTATCCATTTCATAACCTAAATGGATTCGTAAATTAGAAGCGCGGAGCCTGTCTCACACTTGCAGCATCATTATGAGCATATCGTTTCGAAGTTAGACAGGTGTCGCCTGAATCGCTCGTCTGACTGCATGATTAATGGATTTTCAATGATTTGGACAAACGTGATGTTTCAGTTTCACGCTATTCTATCTAAATAATGTTTCGAAAGGAATTCAGAAAAAGACAGGAAAAATATTTGACATAGGGATATACTGTTCTTCGCTTGGGAAGGTTCAAGGTTTTGACTTAAACGATGAGGTTCATGTATAGAGTTTTCATCCACATCCTAAGATGGGCATCCTAAGATGCTTGTTAAAAACCTTTACTAAATCAAAATGCGACTTTAAAAAAAACATTCTTCGTTTTTTCACAGTGAGACCTCCACCGGAACAAATTCGTATCGCAGATGTTCGCCATCAATGGACGCAAAAGCAAGCAAAAATAGCGAATAAGCCATCAGCAGAAGAACATCATGAAGCAAACAATTCTCAACTCCCAGAAATTGAACAACAGGTTTTGAAAGATGAACCACTTCAAGAAGATTACTTCAACTGGATTCCTGAATCTCCTCCTCATGATTCCA